TCTTAAAGATTTTATGATCGCCAAAACCTCTAGTTCGTAGCTAGGATAGTTCTCTTCAGCAGGTGTAGTTTTACCGCTAGCATAATACACAGGATGAAACGCACCATCTACGTTATCCCGCTGCAACAATATCGCTCCATATCCCAAACTAGAAGCATCGGTATGCAACTCAGTTTCAGCGCCTACACGATACAATTTTAATACCGGTGAACTACTCAAACTCAACTTGAGCTTCTCAAACGCTTCTTGTTCTAATGTCTCAAATTTGAATTTATTATCTTTTTTCAACAAATTTGTTAACGGCCGAGCAATCATTGAATAACCATAAATAAATTTCCTAAAATATCCTGTCAAACCAAGAAAACTTTGTACATCTTTTACGCATTGCAACTTCGGAAATTTAATTACAGCTTTAGTTTTATGTTCGGAAGGCCGAACACATCCGTTTTCAATAATATGCCCCAAATATTCAACCCTTGTTTGCAAAAAGCTACATTTACTCCAGTTTATTAACAACCCATATTGACTGGCAACTTCTAATACAGTTTTAAGATTTTTGATTGCACTAATAACATCCCTAGCTAAAATTATTACGTCATCTAAATATATTCGGGCAAAACCAGCTACTATAACTTCTCTAAATACTGCGTGCATGAATTTCTGGAAAACGGCAGGTGAATTGCACAGCCCAAAAGGTGCTTTTAAAAATTCATAATGACCGTTAGGTACAACAAACGCGGTATATTTTCGACTCGTCTCCTCGACAGGTACGTGGAAAAACCCATTCTTCAAATCTAAAGTGCTAAATATTGTTGCGCCTTGCAAGGAATCCAGCTCGTCCTCTATTAACGGCAAGGGATACCTGTCTTTTATAACCTTTCTATTCAACTGTCTATAGTCCACACAAATTCTAATTGAGCCATTCTTTTTCTTCACTAAAACTATTGGGCTAGCATAATCTGAATGAGACGGTTGCACGATCCCCTCTTTTAACCACACAGATATTTGCTTATCAACTTCGACTTTCTCACCAGGGGACAATCTACGCGGTCTCTGATATACAGGTATGTCGTCACTCAACACGATATTCATTGTAACCCCTACTTCGTGAGTTTTATGCGGCTCATAGCTATCAATCAAATCTTGAATTACTTCTCTATGTTCAGAAATTGAAATATGCGACAAATCTATCTCATTTCCATTATCAACATGGATATTAAAAACTTCTGGTACATCTAATTTCTTAATCAAAATTTCTCCTCCCTTCATGGTGAGTTCTACCGAGTCTAAAAAATCAGTACCTATTATCAAACCATGCGGTGTCAATGCATCAGGCACAACATGTATATTTATTGAATAGGTTGTATCGTCTATTAGAATATTAGTTAGAAATTCTCCCATTGTGTAATTTTTCCCTGTTCCTACGCCACGAAATTGCAAAATTCTATTATTCAATTTAGGCGCTCCAATTTTAATATAATGGTCTGCTCGCATTAGATTTAAATCGCTACCAGAATCAATTAATGCTACTAACTTACAATGCTCGATCTGCACATCCTTAACACGCTTTTTCCGTGATTCCTCTGACGTACTACTCACATCTTTTACAGGTTTTTTCACACCGCCACACTCAGGCGCAATATGTCCATACTTTTTACACTTGAAACATTTAGCACCTTTACTCTTCGTCGGGCAATCTACACTTAAGTGATTCCGGTCTCCACACAAAAAACATCTTCGTACGTTTTCCTGCGCTGTAGTTCCACGGATTGTCTTCTTCGTCTTCTCTTCAGTCCGTCGGCTCTTCGTTCTTGAATTTTCCTTCATAGTCTCGTACGACTCGAACTTCTCCTTCAATTCACGAATGCTTCTCGCTCCATACAATATCATTTTGTTCGATTCTTCGTCTTGTACTCCGTCGATAATGTATTTAATGACCGCTGAGACCTCCATATCTGCCTGTTTCGCTATCTCCAACATATGATATACATATTCCTGATATGTTTCATTAGACTTCTTAATTCTCCGAGACAATTCTTTGTGAATTTTGTGCACGTCTACAACTTGCGAAAACTCTGATCTTAACGCTCGCTTCATCTCAGACCATTTACGACAACACTTTTCATAATTGACGAACATTTTGGCTGATCCACGAAGCAGTCGTTTCGCATATATTACCTTCTGCACATCACTCCATTCGCATAACTCCGCCATATCTTCGAACTCCTGCAGCCAACAACGAATATTTTCTTTATTGTCGCCACTGAACGTATTTATGGACTCTTCAACATCCCTAAACGTTAAAACCTGCATGCGCCTCGTGCACTCCCTGACACAGTCCTGCCCACGCTCGTCTTCATCTTCATTACATTCACCTTCATCTTCATCTTCACCATGCTCGATTTCTAATGTCAACGCTGCTCTTAGTCGATCTTGCAATTCTCTCTTGTTTCCACTTGTCCTCAGTTTCCGTTTCTTTAATTCTTCTTTTAATTCAACCAGTTTCATCGATTCTACGGCCTTCAGCCTGTCACTGGCAGAGCTACCTTGCAGTGTAACATCAACTATTGTATCATTTCCCGCATCTGACATCTTGGTAGATTCTTCAAATTCAACTCTCTTCACAAATGCAACTCAATTTCAACACAGTCCAACTCAACACAGTGTATTCAACTCAACACAGTGTATTCAACTCAACACAGTGTATCCAACTCAACACAGTGTATTCAACTCAACACAACTTGTTCAACACAGACGACACAGTCAATTTGTCTGGTTCAAATCCCGGCTGAGCCCCCAAAAATTATGTGGTAAAATGAATGAAATACAAAATTGCCAAGATAGCTCGCAAACACTACGCACTTCTCTCCTCGAAAGTCAGCTCAAGTCTCTCTCATCCCGCAACAGCACACCCATACCTCGCCCTTCACACACCCGCACCCCTCGCTAGGGCCCTAGGTCTCGCCCGGAAAAACTCTAACCGACCCTTGGGCCTGGTTTTCGTCACCGCCTTTCTCTTTTATGACTCTCTTCCTACCTTTAGAAATACAAACTACGCTAAGACTTAAACTACGTTACCACAATTTTTAATACATTAATACTATGAAATACATTAACTTGGAAAGCAGTTAAAAAAAGGAATTGAACTGCGTCTTTCTTTGATATTTTTTTAAATATTTAAGTTATATACATATACATATGTATGTACGTACATATGATAAAAATACGTGATACAAAAGTAATTTCTTCAATTAGATATTACTATTATTCTAACTATTACAATACGTAAATTCGAAGAGATACGAGGAAAATTGGTTAGGTTAAATTGTAAGGATATAAAGAAATTTCAATCTTTAACGGGTTGTCAGTTTTATTTCTTATTCCTTACAACTATTATAATTTTATTCTCTGAATGGTCATTATAATGAAAGATGGATTAGATACAATTTGGTTCCTCATTTAATTTGTTATATACATATCAGGTTTCTTGCAACTATTGCAACTGGTCCACGCCTATACGATATTGCATATTTTACTTTCCTATAATACAACAAGGAAACAAAACTATAATATAGTGATTACTATAATACAATAGAAAATGTTAAGCTTGCTATAAACCTTATATTTTTTTTGTGTATTTATGCTGCACTTTCGCTTCGTTGCTTTATAATTACTAATGACTGATTTTTCTTTTGAATGAAACTTCCACTAGCGTATTGATGAAATTTTTCGATTAAAACAAGATCAAACACGACATAATTTGAATTATACTTACTTTATATATTTGCATTAGGTTTTAAATAAATAAGTAAATATAATGCAAATTATGTCGTGTTTGGTCTTATTTTCATCAGAAGAACCTTACAATTACATTGATAAAAGTTTTATTTAGCAAAAATTAAAAATAAAAAAGTTATGGTTGAATGAATATTGTCTCACTTAAATGTTTTTTTCGGGCTCTTTAATTCTTGGACCTCTTTCTCTATCGCTATTTGTCCTTTTCTATGTTCGTCAGCATTCAAGAACTCGTTCGAGCTATGTCGTTCTACCAGCGTCACATTTACGTTACCTATTCATCGAATATTTGGGCGTAACGCAAAATCAAGAGAGTCCAGTAAAAGAACACATTCTATGCTGAAAGAATATACTAAGTTGTTTGTCGAAAAAAAATTTAAGAAATCTGACAACAGATTTTTTTCGGGCTGCTTTTCTTAAGTAATCAGCATTTTACCAGTCTCCTGTATAGAATCGTGTGTATTAGTTTGGAGCAGAATAACTTAACATTTCGCATAATAGAAATAATTAGATGGTATAAATAAAATAGGAATCAAGTTTCAACTACATGGGTTCTGCCGATATCCGACAGATCAGCGAGGTTAAGCCTACGTTGACTGTGGTTCACAGAAAGATGGGTGAACGCCCGCTTTGCTTCTGTGGTTTGTTGTTTGAAATTAGCAAAGCAAGCCGAAGAGAAAAGAAAGGGAGAGAGAGGAACAATAAAATGAAATTGAATGTGGATGGGATTGATTAAATCTTCGAGGAAGATTGAAGTATGGTGGGGTGTGGGAAATGTGATTGAAATTTGGTCGCTAAGAAGTCGGACTTAAAATATTTCTTTCCAGATTTACGAAGAGAGAGGAGACAAAATGTTAAATTAAATATAATGTATACTATCCTTGAAACAGAACAAAAATCTATCAGTTCTGGAGGTCCGATTTTTTATAAAACAAAATTTAATTTTTTATGTATCCTATACATTTATGAATGAATGTATGTACATATGTGATACGTACAGAAGTTATATTTCCAATTAAATGTTACTTCAACTATTACAATACTTAAAGGCGAGTATAATGCATAGGAAATTGGATTAGGTTAGGGTTAGGTTAGTTTATAAATAAATCTATAATCTTTTCAGGTTTGTTTCTTTTATTTATTTTTTATTTTTGAAAGATACAAAGATACTACAATTGTATTGTTCAAATAATATTCAGTATATATCATGTGATGTTTGACAACCTCTGCAGCTGACCAATGCACGGACGATGTTTGATGGTCTTCTTCCATCCTATACATAAAAAAAATACAATTTAAATCGCGAATATAATGATATATAATACAAATATATAGATTCCTATTAACTTATCTTTTTTCGTGTGTAATTGTTCTGCATCTACGTTTCCTCCCTTCTCGGTTGAAAGTTCGTGTTGTCCGAATCCATGCCGTTCATCCACGGTCTTCTTCCGTCCTATGCATAAGAAAGAAAAATACAATTTAAATCTTGAATGTAATGATACATGTTAAAAATATGTAAGTTGCTATAAACTTATCTTTTTTTCGTGATGTTACAATGCAGCTACGTTTCTTCACTTCTCACGAGGAAAGTTTCCACATGTTATGTTCAGTTGTTAATGCAACTTTGCCACCTTACTATGGTTCATCCAGCTGAACACGTTTGCACCCCATTATGGGGGAAAGCAGGTAATTGTTAAGAGGTATTGACAATTCAAGTTAGTTACTCGTTACATTCGAAAGTAAGATGCACTCATACATACAAACGGTTAACTCCGTGGTCAGACACATGATTGGAAATCCGAAGATCCTCGGTTCCATATGCCGGTTCCTCTCGAACTCGTTGTTGATAGGTACTTTAACACGTTGAGCGCGATGTCGATCCCTGGGGACCGACTATGAACTTTCGAGAAACATGGATTCACCATTACGTTAGCGCCGACTACAGTCGTCACTCTGAACAAAGGAGATAAATTCTTATCTTACAAATATTCCTTTTTCTTGATATCCATATACTGAATATCACGTTCGCTTTCGTCGATTGACGAATTTGCAGATAATGCAGTTGCATCGTTTGTACAATGCGATTCATATGTCAATAGTTTCTCACATTAGACACATTAACTCTTTAACTGCGGGTACTTTTAGTACAGCCGATTACATTCATTCAGAAATTCTAATAATTCGGTAATTCAGTGATTGTGAAACTTGTTGAGCCTATCCGTCCCTTTTTAAGATGAGGCTAGTGCCCCCCCTCCCCAATCGTTCCAGCACCCATAAGTGGGCGGTATCTTTCCCTTGGGGACATTTATTTACTCCGTTTATCCGAATCAATTAATGATCAGCTTCAAATATAGAAACTTATAGCTGAGCTGCTATTATTCGATTACAGACAATCGTATCCACTTATAACAAATACCTGTATCGTAACAACGTTGCGTGCGATGTTATGTCATGTATAGTGAGTAACAGCCAAAATTGTACACCACACATCATTTTTTATTTTGGCTAAAAAATACAGTGTATTAACGCGACACTTCTGTAACAATATTCCGTGTGTACAGTAAAAGCTAAATAAATGCAAGGGGACTATCCCCTACACGTGGAGGGATCCGCTTTGGCGAAGCTCGACGCTTGACAAGGAATCGGTGTAATATAATTCGAATATCGGTGTGTAATATAATTCAATAATATAATATAATTTAACGATGAAACTTTTTTATTTTTGACTGTTCCTTAATGAAACTGTTACTAACGCATTTTTTCTGATTACAATGAAACCAAATATGATATACTTTGAATTATATTAACAGAAAATACAAAATAATAATAAGGGGATAATATAAAAGATCAATGCAGCACATAGAATCGATACCTAGGCTGGTTATATGTAATGTTTGAGTTCCAAACTCTCTTGCATCTATCCAGCTTTTACATCAGTATCAACAAGTAAATATAATTGAAAGTATATCGTGTTTGGTCTCATTTTAATTACAAAAATCTCAGAAATACGTATTTATAAATACTCACAAATTATAAATTAACAATGTACGTATAAAAGGTATATTTCAAAATTTTGATCGGGGTTTATTACTCGCACTCATCAAGACCTACCTGTATTAGAACAATTCAACTGATCCGGATAATCGGAGTTTTAAGAGGGTCGTCCGGTGTGTCGGTTCGACTGAACTTCCGAATAGTTCCCACACCCGATTTTCTTCATCTTGATGTACAGGGTGTCCGCGCTAAACAATGACAGGTGTTTTATTGCGTAACTATTCATGACAGGAAAATTTGTTTATATGAAAATGGCACGGTACAATGTGGCCTAAGTTTTAGCGCGAACGAAAATTTATTTACATTATTAATTTAAAAGATATGATGGTGAAGTTTCGTTTTTTAAATGGAAGTATATATTTTTTTCAGATCATGTGATAATGCTTTTCAAGACGAATTTATTAAGCTTTAATGTATACACCCGATTTTAATTAATTTTCAAGATATACGTTTACAAATTTCCCGATTTGGTGTCCATGATAACATGTCAAGGTCAAGAAAATCGGGCGTGGAAGCTATTCGGAAGTTTATCGGTAGGATATGTGCTTTTGTAGTTTTAAAAAATTACAATTTGTTGAAATCGTGAAAAAAAATAGTGAAGCGGAATTTTTCAACTTTTTTGTGTGAGCCTATAATGAAAATTTAAAATATGTCTTTCGTAGATTCAAATAAGTTATGTGTATGCTGAAAATTTCATCGAGATCGATCAATGCTCTTAGAAATTACAAGTAATGAAAATTTCCGAAAATCGCGACTTTTCATTGAACCTAAGAACATGACTAGTTCTGTTTTTAATAAATTGATTTGTATAGCTTCTCGAGAAACCTGAAGTCTTTCCGTCCAATTTTAAATAACGTATTCGGTTTGAAACGGTGTACATATACTTTTTATACCTAGTGTATATACTACTAATTGTTAGTCATTTATTTCATTTCACGCTGTTCGCTGAAGAAAACCAATCCGGAAACAAATGCGAATTGAAACGAATATGTGTGACGCTGGCAAAAAACTGCTCGAGCTGTGTCCTTGAATGTTACCGTTGAACACAGAAAAGGACAAACAGCGAAAAAGAAAGAGGTCCGACAATTGAAGGGACCGAGGAAAACAACAGGAGGACAATTTTAATGCCAGAATTATTAGATTCCAGAACGAAACTAGGCACGTTCTTAGATCAAACGTCGCGATTTTCGGAAATTTTAATTTTTTCATTGACCGATCTGGATAAAATGTTAAATTTTCATTATAGGCTCACAAAAAAGTTGAAAAATTCCCGTATAAGGGTGCAGTTCTGAAACGCACAACCCTCCGATTGCGGTGAAATTTTAACCAAAGTTTATCCTTCATTATAAAAGAAAGTTCCTAAAAGGATTTTTGGCGACAAGGCCTCGTTTGCCTTCTACATCTCCTCAAAGTTTGTACAGTTTCTACTGCATATCTCGGAAAATATTCATTTCAGATAAAAAAGTTTGAAACAAAAAATGAAGCTCTTACAAGGGAACATCAGGGACTGATACACTCCGATTTTGATGAAACTTTGCATAAATATTTATTAGACCTGTTTATGAAGATAATTGTAATTCGTTGGTGCCCGTTTATCACTTTGAGGGAGATATCAACCCTTTTATCCGAACCGCCCTTTCTATATACGTGCTTATAAATCGTAAACAACAAAAGATATAAAAAAATAGTTGAAATAAAAGTTAAACCGTTTCTTGAGGTCTATAAAGCTGCGTGTAATTTTTTTTTAAATCATCCTTTTTGCAAAATTGAATTCCCCTTCCCCCTCCGTTTTGAAAAACTTCATGCTGTTTTATATATATATATAGAAAGGGCGGTTCGGATAAAAGGGTTGATATCTCCCTGAAAGTGAAAAACGGGCACCAACGAATTACAGTTATCTTCATAAACAGGTATAATAAATATGTATGCAAACTTTCATCAAAATCGGAGTGTATCAGTCCCCGATGTTTCCTTCTTAGAAAGAACAAAAACGGTTACAAAACGGCTACAAAAAAGGTTATATACGTATAATTATTATTGATGTATTTAGGTTAGGTTAGGTGTATTAATATTTTTATTAATATTAGATTTATTAATATTTTTTGTAGAGCTTGTTAACCCCTTCCCGTACTTTAACGAGTCTGACTCGTGATCAGATAGTCGGGCGAAACATGAATATCACGAGTCAGACTTGCGAACAGGCTCGTGAGCTGAACAGTAGTAACGCGTAAAAGTGCCTATATATCAGAATGGTTTTTACATTTCGGCACGTATTGCGACTGTTCTCAAGCGTCTTGTCTGTTTAGCGCGCATTGACGACTACCGTTTAGGTCCGAGTTTCGTCGAGATAAATGGCACGGGAAGGGGTTAACAGCTTCATTTTTTGTTTCAAACTTTTTTCTGTGAAATCAATATTTTTCGAGATTTTACGAGGCCTCGTCGCCAAAAAACCTTTTACGGAATTATAAGAATAAACGCTGGTTAAAATTTCACCGCAATCGGAGGGTTGCGTCTTTCGGAACTTTATCCAAGAACCAGGCACACCGGACGACCCCGTAACACCGACGCCGGCTAAACGGAAAGTTCTGTGACGGTCCCCAGGGACCGACGACGCGCTCGACGTGTTAAAGCACCTACCAACAAAAAATTCGAGTGGAGCCGACATATGAAACAGAGGATCTTCGGATTTGTAATCACATGCCTAACCACGGAGCGAAACCGTTTGTATGTATTAGTGCATTATGCTTTAGAATGTAAAAAATAACAAACCTTCATTGCCAATACCACCTAAACAATTACCCGTTTGCAACCAAAACAAGGTACAGGCCCGTTCAACTGGGTGACTGTCATAAGATGGCATTTTATTAACTAATGAACGTAACACTAGGAGTTGCAGGTGGTCCACCTGTAAAAAGAAATAATCACACAAATAAGATTACAATCCGAATGGTAATAGTTTAAGATGAAATAAAGATATTGTTATATACTTATCCGTTTTTTTTTTTTTTTCACAAAAATAGTCCGTCGATGTAAATGTGAGATGAAGCCTGAAATGGAAAATGTTGGATATACGCGGCAGAAGTACACGCGGAGAAACTACACGCGGCGGAAATACACGTGGAAAAACTGTACGCGACGAAAAAAATACATTTGTAATTGTATACAATTTCAAAACTGACTCGCCAATACTACAAAAAAACCTACGACATTCTACTCTAAATCGTCACTATGTACAGTTAACTGTTGAAAATTAATACTATCACTACGCGGTTTATACAAATTGGAACCTACCATCAATTCTACATGCCTGTCGTCAATAAACATTGTACGACTGCATTCCTTCCTAGCTTTGAGCGCTGTGCGCACTACACATATAGAATTTAGTAACTCGCTGCCTACCTTATTTCGCTTTCTATTTTTCACGTGAGGCAAGAGGGAAAAAATTCTTTCCAATTCCGCATTAGAATGCGGAAGACATCTAACTACGTTTATCAACGAGGTAATCTGTGGAACGACACCCTTATTCGCTATATCGATCCACATCTCGTCGAAAAAAGATTGAAACCATTGCTTTCTATCCTCGCGACTTGATGCGAAATATAAAGAATTCCATTCCCTTTCTAAACCTGCAATATCGAAGTGGCCTAACCTACGCGCGACTGCAATTAGATTAACTAAACTTTTCTTTCTATCGCTACTCCCGAAAACGTTCGCATATGTAAAAACAGTTACATCCCGTAAAAATACATCGTCGTGAGGAAGACGATTGCGTATTTCATTACTTACGGTAACGTAGAATCGTAAGCAATTTTCGCAGAAGTTAATGATGTCAGTTTCTATTACACCGTTCTGCAATGCCTCTTCCAAGTGCAGTTCACACTCAGTTCCAAGTTCCACTTCATTTAGTGGAACTTGGTTAGATTGGCAGGAGAAATCCATCTGCCTAACTAAATCTAAATGTTTAATTAGAGCAGGTTTCAAAAACCTGCACAAGAAAAATTGAAGCAGCCTCGCTGAGGCAGGCTGCAATTCCGGGATCATAGTTTCTCTACCCTGGAAAGAGGCATTATAGATATTTAAAACGTTTAAGGTGTATTCGAGAAAATAAAAATACCCTTTCATAAGAGGGTTATTAAATAATACTAAATAATTTTCAGCGACATTCGGTTTTTCGGAAAATACCTGTTCTGTGAAGAATCTAATCAAATCGTCCCAAATTTCCAAAAATCGCTCAACGCACTGGTGCATCGCCAACCAGCACGTGTCCGACAGTTTCAGAACTTTCAGCGGACAGTTCTGATAGCTTTCCTGAAACTGCTGGAAAATTGCAGCTCGTTTAGGGCTGCTATTTATAAAAGAAATCACACCCCGAAGCAATTTGAAACATTCCTCTGGAAGTGTAGCGCAAGCAGCACTCGTTGCCAACGCTACCGAATGACATACGCAAGGGAGTGTAATTACATTACTGTTTTTTTCCAGCAATTTAGTTTTAAAAGAAGAATTCCTCCCCGTTATTACAGAAGCATTATCGCAACTAAGGGCCGCGATATTTTGCAGCGGAATTTGCATTTTCAGCATCTGATTTTCGAAAGATTTGAAAATCTTTTCCGCTGAACAATCGCTGGCGTCCAGATGAATTAGTTGCAATAATTCTGTACGCACTACAAAACTACGTGGCTCCACATACCTCACCGCTAAGGTAAGCCATTTATCGTTAGTCGAGTCGGACGTTTCGTCCTCATGTATAGAAAATTTCGCGTTACGAACACTATCTACAATGCGTTCGGTTTCCCGAATGCATAAAACATTATTGATAATTTGGGTACATTTTGTACGATCTACTCGCATTTTCTCTAACACCCCTGGCTCTTTTCCTATATCTTGCATAAGAGCAAGAAAATCTGCGAAATCACGTTGGCAACGATGATCGCGCAACCTCTATTGGTATACACCCCCCCGCGCAGAATTCTTAACGGTCGCTGATCTCTCCGAGATTTGTTTGGAACTTTGCAGATATGCAGAATGCTGGAAAATGTACGGCAGGTATATTTTTTAGTTGTTTCAAATCTGTATAGATATATATGTATATGTGTGTATTCGTTTCAGAGAATAATTAAAAGTATAAAGATATAATTTAACGTGTTTCTCATATAAAGGTTTCTACATTGACGTGTCGAATACGAGCCGATTGTGTATTAGATCGTATTTGCAACTGTTCTCTGTATTCGTAGAGGCGACGAAAACACATGCAAACGAATCGGCTCCAACTCGCCTCGGCGATGTATAATTTGACCTTCTGACGTGAAAATGAGATACATTCGTTTGCAAAAGATGCCGCGAGTAAAAAAAAGTTACCGTTGATATGCAATAGTTTCAGTAATTTTCGACTGATCTTTATGAATCTTTTTAAAGCGCGGTACCCCGCCGCTGCTGGATGTGAAGCAGCTATCTCACTTGCTCCTGTTGTATCTGTTCTCTCACTTCGTTGAGTAGGTTTCAATTTTATTGGTTTCAAAACCGGCATTGCTGTAAATTTTTAAATTTTTTGGTTTTAGTTTTCGTGTTTAATAATTTTCCAATTTACTATAGTTTTCTGAAGTCTGAACAAAAATATATTATGCAAAGTATACACAGTACGTTTAGGCAACTAAACGACAAGTGTCGAATATGTTCCAGTATTCTATATACATATCTGCAAAGTTCCATTAAAGTCTAAGATTGCTGCTCAGTTATCGGTAAAATTCAGCTCGGGGTGCACGCTGATAAATAGAAGTTTGGCAATCATTTTCCTGTGTGCGAAACCTTCGTGATCGCGAGAGAGGGAAAAAGAATATATTTATATAAATTAAAGAACTTTTTTTGTGTCTTTCTTCATTAAATAAAACATGTGCTACATGTGTATTTTGTCACGAGTTTTTATATTTTTAAACGTTCTAATGCGTCAAAAGCAATTAATTGCTTTGTAATTCGCGCTTCGTGCGGCGGATTCGCCTATAATGCGCATTTTGTGTAAATGGCAACGTAGGCCCGCCGTCGACGACTATATAAGACCGCGACGGGAATTTCTCGATCTCTTCTGTTTCGACCGACTGACGGAAGCAACATCGGCGAAGGAACGCGACGCGACGTCGACACGCAGATTATAAGGGAAGATTGAACATTCATCTTCAGCAAAGAAGATAAGTAAACCACATTTTATTATTCCATTATTATCTCGTCATTATTATTATGTAAAATGTATGACTATGTTGTTTTTTATTTATACTGTAATATAAACTGACGTGACAGCAAAGAAATGTATCGAATCTTCACGTTTCGCCAAAATTATTCTAATTTATAACACACCGAATCGTAAAAGTAATATTATTAGCTATAATTTTGAATAAAACGGTTCACTGTGGATATTTATGGAACATAACTCAGTTTATATTACAAGATCAAGAAGGAAGTCGAAAGAAACATTTTCTAATTTCAATATTGCGATTTGAAGGAAACAACATATCGAAGAAGAAAGGATCCAACTCGCTTTTGCGACAAGCAAACAACGTGTCCTCCTCTCCATCGGAAAAGCAACCGCTGGTGCAACGAACTTCCGCAACGGAAATTGCGCAACTATGAGTAACGTACCAATTATTTTAATTTACATTATAAATATAATACTATAGTGTTCCGATGAGAATGTCGCAAATTTGTCAGAACTTCTTGAAGATCTGAAAAAATTTGATATTAACTATTATGACAAACTTCGTGAAATGTTCATTCAACAATTTTATCCGATTCCAGTAAAAGTTAAAAAGTAGGAAATATATATTTACATTTCGTAGATATCATCATTAAGATGATGGGTTTCAAACAAATTCGAACAATATTTTATCACAAATTACGTAAATTATTAAACAATTGTCTTTTTGTCTGATTAAAAATGTAGCACCATCAAATTTTTAAAATTCCAATTTCATAGCGTTGGCTGTTAGAATGTCGGCAACGCCCGATCGCTACAAAAAAAGCAGAAAGGTACACAGTTGAATATTACGTACAACATACAAGAATTATAAACTGTCTCGCATTCCACCTTTTTTTTATGCCGCTTGTACCATGTATCTTATATACACGAAGGTTCTCGAAATTATTTCGGTTAAATTTTGTATCAAACGGTTAATCCCGTTTAGTAATGAAGAAATAAACACAGTCGCGGTACGATAATGGTAATATAATAGACTATATTGAAAAACATATAACAACACATGGACAAAGTCGTCTAAATCAACAACATTCCATGGGACGGTTAGAATATCCGCAACGATACGTAGCCAAACCGTTGTCGGATGGACGTTATAAACAAAGCGCTCGAGATCGCTTTTGTCGGCGCTTTCTGCGACTTTCTTCATCGAACGATGTTTCGTCGTCGCACAGTACAGTCTAATGATGGAGTTTGGAACAGAAATCAAATTCTGATTATAAATGATAATATATTTCAATTTTTTTACATAAAATAACATTAATACTTTTGTTGTTACTTCAGTTCTACTCTTATTTTTTATCATTATTCTTCGTTGAAACTATTTTTCAAGGTGTTATTCAAATTTATTAAAGTGTTTGCTTATTACTTTGTAATGACTGCTCTTTCATTTCTTCAAAGTGAAAAAAAAAATCATTCTGGGATGAAACTTGTCCCCCTGTTGTTTTTCTCGGTCCCTTTAATTCTCGGATCTCTTTCTTTTTCGCTGTTTGTCCTTTTCTGCGTTCAGCGGTAAGATTCGAGCACTCGGCTCGAGCAGCTTTTGCCACCGTCACACATATTCGTTCCAATATACATTTGTTTCCGGATCGGTTTTCTTCAATGAACAGCATGAAATGAAATAAATGACTAACAATTAAAGAGTCGCGGGGATTAGGGAGAATGATTGTAGGTCGCATTAAGATGTACTGGAATTGTTAATAATGTTTCATGTGCCCAGGAAACCGAGTGTATTATTAACAATATTCAACATACTAAATGTTCACCGAAAAAGATTTTGAAATCTTTTGAAAATCAATTGCTGAAAATGCAAATTCTGCTGCAAAATATCGTGGCCCTTAGTTGCAATAATGCTTCTGTAATGACGGGGCAATGAGTTCTGCTTGCGCGACACTTCCAAAGGAATGTTTGAATTTGCTCCGGGGTGTGATTTCTTTTATAAATTTCAAGAAAATTATGAGAACGATATGTACAATTCTCTTCCGAGATATTCTTCTGTTCGCAAATCTGGAAGTATTTAGTCCGATTTCTTAGCGACCAAATTTCAGTCGCGTTTCCCACTATACTTCAATCTTCGTCGAAGATGAGCACAGTAACTTACTGAAAGACGTTCGCTATTGTTGTTTTTTTCCCCGACAATTCTTTTTCGTCGAGATGTGGATTGATATAGCGAAAAAGGCTATACTTCCAGAGCTCACCTTAGTGTTAAATGCCGTTCGATGTCTTCCGCATCTAATGCCAAATTCGGAAGTAATTTCCAGCAGTTGACTTTATATACTGACAATTTAGAGTAGGATGTCGTATAGGTTTTTTCCTAGTATTGCCGGGTCAATTTTGAAATTGTTTACAATTACATTTAAAAATGAAAAAGCAAATAAGGTAGGAAGGAATTTGTTAAATTCGATATGTGCAGTGCGCACAGCGCATCGTTGTATTCAGAGATATTTTTCTGTTCACAAATGTGTAAGTATTTAGTCCGATTTCTTAGCGACCAAATTTCACTCGCGTTTCCCACCATACTTCAATCTTGGACGAAGATTAACACATTTTCTTAGTGTCCATTTTCTGTTCTTGGGGTCGAAACGTCGGACTCCACTAATGACATATGAACCTACATGATTATTAAAAGATAACGGAAATGTGAGGAAGTGAAGTAAAGTGAGGTTTCTCCGTTATTCCTTCAGGACAGAGTCAAGATCGCGTCCGATTTTCTTGCTCTTGTACAAGGTACAGGAAAACAGCCAGGAAACCGGCGATTAACCAGTGCGTTCAGCGATTTTTAGAAATTTGGGACAATTGATCAGATTTTTTACAG